GGCCAGTCCTCCAAAAAATAATTCCTGTTTAGGATCCCCATCTTGTATAGTTTAAGACAGGATTTATTAGGAAGGAAAAAGAAACACATCCGAGAGAGAACATGGGTGCCTTAAGAGAAAGGGCACATTGCCTTGCTGGCAGCTGAGTGCTTTATATATTTTTCTTAGTGATGATTAAGCAATCTATTCTTTAAGCAAAGATCCGCGTGCTACATGGACTACATGGTGGGTGACAACCTATTAATCACAAGCTTCATTGATCACAAACTCCTATTCTTCATCGTTTACTTTTAAGCTTACTTGTGTCATGTGAACATTTTAACATAATTGTAAAGGTTACTGTTTTACAGTTTAGTTAAGCTGCTTCTTAAAGAACACCATGCTCCACTGCCTCTGGAAATTCCCTTACTGCCTCATTTCATGGTTTCTGTAACTAAGAGTACCAACCTCCCCATACTCCAGGGTTGGATCTGGGAGGCCTAGTCAGTGCAGGTATTATTTCAAATCACCACGTTTCAGTAAGCCCACGCCCTGGTGCCTGACCATCTGGTCTTTTAATTATCTAAGCTATGTCTGCCTGCAAGAAGCTCGCCTATCTATGTCTAAGCTATGTTAGTGGCCCTGCCTCAGTGGCATCCGCTCTTCTCTGTCCTCCTCACTCCAAGTCTCTCCTCCTCTCCCTGATGACCAGCCACAGGAGTCTGACTTATAAAGGCCGCTGACTGACTCTCAGCTCCCACGACTATATGAGGCCTATCCCCTACAGTAACTCTGCCGTGTCACTCAGTGGTCCCAAGGATCAATCCCTGGCCGGCACGGATAATGAGTTCAACAGATGTTAAATGAACGAACGAATGAGTAGTTGAATAAATAGTTTGGCTACTTCAAAGTTTTAAATGTCAGAAGAAATAAAACTAAATGATCTTATTTTTCCAATCTTCCCTAAAGGATAAATTATTAATGTATATTACAATATGCTCTTCCCAAGGGGCCCAATGATCACAGCATTTTCAAATAACACAGATGGCTTTCAGTATGGTGACTGAATTATATCTATGCAGTATTAATTGAGAGTAGAAAGGCTATGACATTTCTGTGTGTTTTGATGGTGACTTATTTTTAGGATATTGTCATTGCACATCCCCCTCCCTGAGATGGGAGTGATTAGGGGAGGAGGTGATCCTGGAGGTATGGGATGTACATCCATCATGAACTTGAGCTTTGAGGTAGTCCCATGGTGCTGGGCCACCAGAAACTGTGAGAGGAGTGGTTGGCTGGTGGTCACTGCTCCTACGAGGAAATCGAAGCTAATATCATGTCCAACTGCAAAAGCAAGTCAAGAAAACTAAAGTGGGCGCAGAACTGAGGTCTGAAACTAATGTCCATGGCAAGCCAGAGCATTGCTCAAACTGATGGAGAAATTCAAGATTGAAAGCCCCCATCCTACACAGAGGTTGAATTTGATCTTCTAAACATCAGACAACTAAGTACCATTACCCCCCCCCTTGAATGAATGTAACTTTGGAAATCTTTCTGCTGAGTTTTCCTTTAGCACTGGCAAGCAGGATTCTCTTTCTTGCAGGGATAAGGGCATGAAAAAATGCAGTGTCTGCCCCCAAGGTGGAGTGCTGAAAAGCAGGCCTGGTGGGGAGGGGTGGGGGACATGGGAGGGGTCCTTGCAGTCTGGTTTCCAAAGATACAAAATTTGAGGTCAGCCCTGGCTCTAGCTCTGACTCTGTGACCAGCTGTCTGATCTGGAACAAGTTACTCACCCGCTCCGTGACTCAACATTCTCCTCCATCAAGTGGAGCTGCAAATGAGACGCCCGTGTGGGCTCAGTGCAGCCAGCCTGGGCACTGGGTTTTGCTCTGCTTTCAGTACGGCACCCACACAACAGCATTTTCCGTGTTTCCAAACCAAAATCATATCCTTGTTTATGCCCACCTTTAATCTTTTCAATCTCCTTAAGGAGGCTAAGCCTAGCTTTTCAGGGTTTTTTTATGGTGCGTCTTCATGGAAATATCCAGAACCTTCCTGAAAGAACACCCATGAAAAGATGGTGACCATTCTATGCCATACACATAGTATTCTTCTGGCTACAATAGTAAAACAAGAAAAAGACATAATGTCTTAATTTCTTCTAATGTAATTGACTAGTACGATCGTAGACCTATTTTGAAACAACTATCTTTTCACATTAAAAGCAATTCTAGGGATTTTTAAATTTCATTTTCCTTCACATTATCACAATCAGGTCTTTCAGGTCTTGTGAAATTTCCAGATTGTGCAATGGCTCTCAGCAACTCTGTCTCAGGGGAAATGCACACAAGCCAGTCTGCTAGTGAGGAAGGGGGCTGTAGGAAGCTCACAGCCCTTCCTTGGGAACTCATATTGCTTCCCCAGAGGCAGCAAAGGATGAGAACCCATGAGGCTGGGAGTATACAACATGTACAAGGGTGTCTGCTCCCAAGCCCACCCTCTAGGAGTAACCCTGGCATGTGGGCAGATGACTGGCTCCAGCTGGAGCTTCGTCCAAGAACATGATGATCTCAGTTCCTGCTGGCCTCACTCAAGGGCCTTCCCGCCTCCGGAGCCTCCCAAGCAGTAGTGGGGAGAGTTCCACATGGTTCCCAACACCCTGAACCTTCTTAGTTCACAGTCTCGAAGTTGAAGGAGAAAAAGGGAGCAGGAATTTGGCCTCAGGCCACCATGGGCTTGTATCTAGGGTATCCCATGCTAGGTCAAGGACCATTAAACTACTCAGAAGTTCAATGTCCTCAAATATAATATGGTCTGGGGCGGCATCAACACTGGAATGCGTAGATTTCATGCCCGGTGGGCGGTGCTGGGGGAATGGCATTAGCATGACTTGAAGGATGGGATATAGACGGGGTCACTGGTTGGTGGAGCCATGGAAGGCAGTGCAGGACTTCAGGGCAGCATCAGCGCCCTCCAGCCTGGGCGGTCCCTGCCTGGAGCTGTGACAAGAACACAGCCGCATGACATGCAGAATGAAACTGACCAAGGATCATGTGGTTCCTTTTATCGAGTCAGCCTTTATTTAAACTTGTGCTTTTGAAATAGCTTATTAAATCTGATCTTTTCAGAATTCAATTCACACAATATTTACAGTGAGCTTTGTACAAACACATTTTGACTGTGAGCTTCCTGCTCCCCCTTTCACATTTAATAATTTACAAGTTTGTATCACAACAGAACCCCAGACTCTAGTTTTCTGTTTGACAGGTACTGAGCTGGGGTCATGGGTTGCAAGGAAAGAGCTAACTCAAGCCCAAAGGAAATAAAACATGTTCTCATTATAAAAAAAAAAATTATTACAAGGCCTTGCTTTCCAATTGGAAACACATGTCTCATGATGTTGAGGAACAGTATTAAGTAACAAAGCAAGTTTCCAACTGTTATGTCACCTTCATTTTTTATATTTACACTCATCTCTTTTAATCAAATAAGCAAAACCATAAAAGTCAAATTCTAAGGGAGTCAGGAATGTTATAAAAATAAGGTGGCTTCAGTGGTTACAGAATGCAGGTCACCAGGGCTGCCGGCTAGCCTCCCACAGCTGGCCTTCCACAACTGACCTCCCATGGCTGGCCTTCCATGTGGGCTCCCACCAGGGTGCTACAGGAGGCCTACACCACCTGCCTCAGATTCCCCTGGGGGCTCAGAGAAAACATACACCTGCACTCAGCCAAGTGTGACCCCCCAACAGGAACACAATCTATAAAGGACACTGATCTTGGAAAACATACTTCCCTTCCCCTCTCTGGGTGGAGAAATATCGAGTTGAAGAAAAAGAAAGCAACACTCAACTCTTGTAAAAAGTGAGGGTTTCCAGGGAAGGTAACAACTCATGATTTAGAAACAGAATTATTAAAAATACAGATGAGCAATTGGACCTTTAATGTTTGTGAAATATAGTTTTAAAATTCCATTTTATATACTTGATGTCTGAAAACAATCCATAGCCTTTAAATATTTTTTTGGTTACGTGACTTTTTTGGGGGACCAAAATTTTATAGGTTTTCTTTTTTTCTGAGTCTGGGTTTCTCTCTGCTACCCAGGCAGGAGTGCAGTGGTACGATCACAGCTCACTGCAGCCTTGATATCCTGGGCTTGGGTAATCCTTCTACCTCAGCCTCCCAAGTACTGGGACTACAGGCATGCGCCACTATGCCTGGCTAATTTTTTTTTTAATTTTTAGTGATTTGAGAATTTTTTCATGTATTAATCATTTCTCCTTCCAAGGGATTCCTCTTGATAAAGTTTCTATACAGAGACCCTCTGGCCCCATGACTCTGTGCCCGCTGGGCATCCTACCACAGTGACTCCTACGGTAACACATACCCTCAGCACAAAGCGTTCTTCCCATGAGGGAAATTATGAATGGAATAGTCCGACCCTTACTGACCCTCCAGAAGTCTATGTTCAGCAAAGACTCTATCTAGAATCATCTGTTCGCAGTCTTCCAGTGACCAGGTCACACCCCGTGGGTCTTCTGTGCCCCCACGACCCTTGTTGAGCCATCCTGTTCTCCCCTGTCAATCTCAACTGCAGGAGATGCAGGTGTGGGCCACTGTAAGACATGCCCAGGAGCTGTGAGGGATGGAACATGGGACAGTGAGCGAACAGGAAGGAGGCTGAGTCCAGGAGGGCATCATTCCCAGGAGGTTAGGATTCAATCATTACAGTCCAAAGACACTGGGCAAAAGGATACACAGTAACTGGAAACACCAGCCTTACCTTCTGGTACTGTCTAGTGTCATAAGCAGTATGCATGTCTACCTACAGAGAGGCAAAGCACTTTTGAACGCTTGCCCCAATGCTAGCTCTCCCCTGAGAACTCAGTGCTCCCTGAGGACTCAGTGGTACCCATCACCTGAGCTCCTACTTGATGGCTGAGGACTCGTGGCTGCAAGCTAAAATTGCTTTTATCAACATCGAATTCAATGGCTCTGATTTCACATAAGTAATCATAGGCAACTAAAATGAATATATTATTCTAGGTTGATTTTTTCCATTCAAATGTTTATATTCCATCTACCCTGAACAATCAATTGTGAAAAAACAGTCACCTCCAATGCCTTCCCAAGGATGATGACTTTTTGAAATGACACTTAATGAACAAACTGGACAAATAAGACAAATGACTGTGGCAGGGGATGGCGAGATCTTCAAGGGGCTGTTTTCTTCAAGTCCCGAATCTGTTTAATCAAGTAGTTTTTCTCATCAGTGAACTGCTCATCATCCGTCCTGTCTTTCTGGAAGCTGCTCAGAAACTCAATGAGCTTGGGTTGATTTTTCAGTAGAATCTCCACAATAGGCTGTGTTTTGTGAGGACTGGCCACAAATACCTGAAACAAAAAGAAACAAACATCTAGAGCAGGAGCGCAGGCCAGGGAGGGCATGGACGTGACTCTCACTTCTTGCTGACTTGTGTTATTGATACATGGAAAGCCCAGAATGACACTTCTCACTGGAGGATGATCAATACAGTTGTGCACCGCATAATGATGTTTTGGTCCAGAAGAGATCACATATATGACAGTGGTCCTATAAGATTATCATGGAGCCCAAAAATTCCTATCACCTAATGATGTCACAGCTGTCATGACATCATAGCGCAACGCATTACTCAGGTGTTTGTGGTGATGCTGGTGTAAACAAAACTACTGCTCTGCCAGTCATGTAAAAGTCTACACATACGGCTGGGCTCGGTGACTCAGCCTGTAATCCCAGCACTTTGGGAGGCTGAGGTGAGTGGATCGCCTGAGCCAGTGGGTTCGAGACCAGCCCAGATAACTTGATGAGACCTCGTCTCTACAAAAAAAAAAGTCTGCACATACAATTATGCACCCAGATAGGGCACTTACCATGTACAAAACCTACACTTGATAATGATGGTAAGCGACTATACTACTGGTTTATGTATTTACCATTCTATACTTTTTATCATTATTTTATTAGCATGCTCCTTCTACTTAAAAAAGTTACTGTGACAGCCTCAGGCAGGTCCTTCAGGAGTTATTCCAGAAGAAGGCCCTGTCATCCTCATAGGAGATGACAGCTCCATGTGCGTTATTGCCCCTGATGACCTTCTAGTGGGACGAGATGTGAAGGTGGAAGACAGCGATGTTGATGACCTGACCCTGTGTAGGCCTGGGCTCATGTGTGTGTTTGTGTCTTCATTTTCAACAAAGATGTTTAAAAAATAAAAAATAACAAAACACTTCAAAAGTAGAAAAAGCTTACAGAATAAGGATATAATGAAATAAAATATTTTTGTATAGCTGTACAGTGTGTGTTGCAAGCGAAATGTTATTACAAAACAGTCTAAAAGCTTTAAAAATCAAAAAGTATATAAGGTAAAAAAAGTTATACTAAGCTAAGGAAGAAAAAGACTTTTTATTAATTTAGTATAGCCTAAATACACAGTGTTTATCAAATCCACAGTAGTGTACAGTAATGTCCTGGGCCTCCAAATTCATTCACCATGCACTCACTGACCCATCCAGAGCAACTTCTAGTCCTGCAAGCTTCACTCATGGTAAGTGCCCTATCTGGGTGCACCATTTTTTATTTTTCATACAGCATTTTATGGTACCTTTTCTATGTTGAGATCTGTTTAAACACATAAATCCTTATGACTGCATTACAGTTGCCTACAGTGTGAACCAAAGTACAGTCACAAGCTGTTCAGGTGTGTAGCCTGGGAGCGATGGGTCATACCACAAAGCCTCAGTGTGAAGTAGGCTGTACCATGTAAATTCGTGTTAGTCACTATGATGTTCACACAACACCAAAATCACCTAATGATGCATTTCTCAGAATGACTCTATGGTTAGGCGATGCATAGACTATGCTGCACCTTTCCTGTCAATCTCCCTATAGGTAGGGGCACATGAAAGCAGTCCTTGAACATTTTTCACTTTTACTTTGCTTTACTTTTAAATGTTTATTTAACTATAAAATCTTGCAAAGAGAAAATAACATAAGAGATAGCAATATATTCACCACACAAATAGAGAGCATTTTTGCCATTTTGCTTCAAATCGTTTGAAGAAATACAACATCACAAATGGAAGCAAATCACCCCCTTTCACCTTCCCTTCCCTCCCTGCTCACATCGTGCTGCCCTCTCTGGGCACGTGTTTACCCTTTTCCTCCTATGAGATATGCAAACATAAACAACACACAGTATTGGAGTGAGTGCATGTGTTTTTTTAATTTTTTTTTTTTTGAACAGGTAATAAAGTCACCTGGCTCAAAATTCAAAAAGTACATCTCCCATTCCCTCCCTGGAGGCCACCAATGTCACTGTTTTCTCATGTATGTTAACCTTTTAAAATGGCAATTGCTCAGGCCCTACCTCCCAGAGATTTCACCTAGGCAGATCTGTGGTGGACACCTGGCATTCTGTATTCTCATCATGTTCCATAAAGATTCTTATGTACACCCCTAGGGAACACCATAATCCTGGATAATACTTTAGCCATACTATACCAGGCATGTCCAACCTGTGGCCTGTGGGCCACATGTGGCCTAGGACAGCTAGTAATGCAGCACCACAAGATATTTTAACATGCATTTTTTAGTGTTTATTTTCTTCATGACTCCATGTGTAGCTCTGTTTTCGAAGTTCATAATCATGCCGTATTCATGGCATTGTTTTTTGCAGCACATACATTTGTGAGCAGCTGTTTTCAGTTATGAAGTCTACAAAGAGCAGAATTCAAACAAACATTTCAGATGAGCACCTTGAGAACTAAGAATTGCAACCACTTCCATTGAACCATACACTGATAGTTTTACAGAAACAAGGTAAAATTTCCCACTAGTTTTATATTGTTCTCGTTTTTCTAAACTTTATAACAAAAAATAATCAAAAATAAAAGAAGTCTTATTATGTATATACACTAACTATAGTATATAATTTATAGGAAGCACAAGACAATTCCTCTTTACTCGATGCAGCCTAGGGAAGCCAAATGATTGGACATCCCTGCTATAAACCCAGCAATGGCCATAATCACAGGATACAATAACTCAAAACCTTAATACTGATGGGTGCACTGTTTTGTAATAGACATACTCCTTAGTTACCGCTATGTATATGACTAATTGACCAGAACACAAATCAAAGTATCTCTGAGTTCTACGGAGCCCTCTGGTGTCATGTTCTGGGCTCCTGACTCCACTGGGCACTGCTCTGCCCAGCACTCTTGCCCTATAGCCAGGTAATGCACACAGAGAACATGCTATGACAATGCTTGGTTATGTAGCAAGGGGCCACATGGCACAGTCCTCACTGTTCCTCCACCCCAGCAAGTGTGGGAAGGAGAAAACTACCATGGATGGTAAATTCCAGTGAGGGGAATACTGGAGATGACATCACATTTCCACATTTGGAAGGAAGGCCTGTGGTGTAGACGGCAGGATGCAAGGCAGTGAGTCAGGCAGAGAATGTATACTGTGGTGGTGACAGGAGCTGGCATTCCAGAAACATGGAGCTGTCCTGGTGAAAGCCCAGAGGTGGGCGGAGATGTGGGAGCAGCAATGAGGGTGAGAATGAGTGAGTGGGAACCCAGGAGCTGATTCTCAGACCTGGGTTCCAATTCCACCTTCCCTACATGCCGATGGTGTGTCCCAAGCAAGGTCTCGTTCTCTAGACACAAGAAGCCTTAGACTTGGGTTCCAATTCCACCTCCCCTACGTGCTCACAGTGCGTCCTGAGCAAAGTCTCATTTTCTAGACACGAGGCCTTCTACCTGGCCGGGCAGGGAGAAAGTCTTCGAAAGGACTTCTGCTGTTACCACAGTGTGGGGAAAAGTGCCTGAACTTAACTCAAGGCTTTGTCACTGCCTTATCACCCTAGCTCTGGCCAACTGTATACACACCCCTGTGCTGCTGGTTCACAACCCTGCCAACTGGTTACCTTCACTCACTGGGTTAAGTGCTTCACACTCAGGGGAACACTTCATCCTCACGACAGTCCTGAAGGATAATAACTGTTATCCTCATTTGATAAATAAAGAAATTGAGGCTTAGTAACGTTAAGAAACTTGACCTCATAGTATTAAGGTTAACAGCATGGACTCTGAGGCACACTGCCTGGGTCCAAATCCTAGCAAAACTTATTTACCTCTCATGACCTCAGTTTCTTCATCTGGAAAATGAGGTGACAACAGTAGCTCTGTGCCACTAGGTAACTGTGAAGCTTCAGGAGAATACTACAGGCATTCTGACTCATGCATTCAGGTCGTCGTGTGGCACTCAGCAGGCACTACTGAGGAGGTATCAGCTGTTATTATCACTGTTCTTGCCAAGCTCACAGAGCTAGCAAGGCCTAAAGCTGGGATTAAATACAGGACACTTGTTCTGAGAACTGAGGAAATGTGACATTTTGCCAGGTGAGATGCAGAACTGGAAACCCAAACCCACACATCTCTGATACTCAGCTCATCTGACCAATTTATTTTCTGAAATTGTATATACATGCTATAAATATGATATATTAATTCTTCATGCTTCTGTTCTTTCCATCAAAGGTCTTGGACTCCCTCTCTCTGCAGGCACTAAGGAGCGCAGAGCACTCTCTGGGAACACTGCACATCCCTGTGTTCACTAGTGGCTCACAACAGACCGTTTCTCAGCAGCCCTCACTGCCCATCAGACCAGGAGCCCGCCCTTCCACCAGGCCAGGGAAGGAAAAGGATTTCTCAAACTTCTACTTGGTGGGCCTACAGCCATGAGGTGACAAGACGGAACTGACCTTCGACCTTCTGGGTTATAAAGTATTTTCGGCTCTTCTTAATCAACCACAGGGATAAAGAAAGCAGGAAATTAGAGATGAATGAAAACAAAATACTTCTTTGAGAGTATGAAAACAAAAGCACAACATACTAAGACTCACAGGATGCACCAAAAACTGATAGGTATAAATGCCTACATTTAAAAAAAAAAAGGCTGGGCTCAGTGGCTCAGCCTGCAATCCCAGCACTTTGGGAGGCCTGAGGCAAGTGGATTGCCTGAGCCACGTGTTTGAGACCAGCCCAGGCAACTTGGTGAGACCCCGTCTCTACGATAAAATTAAAATAGTTGGGCGCGGTAATGCGTGTCTGTAGTTCCAGAAGGCTGAGGTGGAAGGATTGCTGGAGCCCAGAAGGTCGACGCTGGAGTGGCTATGAGTATGCATGACACTGCACTCCAGCCTGGGTGAAGGAGTGAGACTCCAACTCAAAAAAAAAAAAAAGAAAGAAAGAAAGAAAGAGTGGTTGGGCATAGTGGCTCACACCTATAATCCCAGCACTTTGGGAGGCTGAGGTGACAGGATTACCTGAGCTCATGGGTTCGA